GTGTAGTCAAGCGACAGCTAAAGATCTTCAAGCATTCGTCTAAAGGAAAATTGATCGGTCGATATTTGAAAACTATATTTCTGTACCATTTTTATCGAACACTGCCACATCGGATCACGCGTTCGAGAGAGGAGCGCCCAGCTCACGGGCGAAAGCTATCGGGATTCGTTTAGCTTTTGTTTCTTGGCAACAGCGACGGGGTCCAATTTCGCTTTATCCCCTCGGTTGCCGTGGCCATCAAATTTTCGTGCAAAGCCGAAGCAGCGTTCGCTGCAGGAAGAACCAGAGCAAGAATGAATCAAATTACACAGGCACGCAGGTGGATTAAAACGCTAAAGAGGAAAGAATTTCCATTGCCCTGAAAAAATGACATTAGCGAAATCCCCGCCGGTTCTTCCACCCACGGTTCTTTTTAACGGTTCCCCTCTTCCTCTTTCTCTCGTCGCGATTCTTGTTGTTTCTGCACTGTTCCGCACGCTCTTCCTTCTTTCTTTCGTTCCTCTATCCTCCCTCGTCATTCTCATTTCCCTTGCCCGTTTCGTTTCGTTTCGTTTCGTTTCGCCGCGCGCTCTCGTTTTATTTCACCCGCCTCTCTCGTTCAATGATCCTACCCCGGCTTTCGTCCGATCTTTTCGAATTAACGTTTCACCACGAATCCGCAAATAAATTTCGCGGACCACTATTACCGGGTCCACCAGGGGAGGGGGGGGGGGGAGGGGAAGGAAGTAAATCTCCGGATAAGAGAAACCGACCACCGTGAGGTTACCATTGAGGAATTTATGTGATTTCCGTTAACTACTCTGGACGGCTAATCGAGAGTAGAAATTGAAATAAAAACGCGTGTCCGCACGAACACTCGATCTTTCGTTTCGTTTCGTTTCGGGCTGAAAGAATGACGGGGAGACAGATATTAAAAAATAATATTTGAATGTATCCCAAGGGTTCCAGAGTTTCTCTGGCTTCAAGATTTCGATTGACACACGGAACTTTCGATGAGAATTAAGTCTTTAACTGGATTTAACCAAATCTGTCCCATTTGTAGATACAATTGAATCGGATTTTAACAAGAGCAACGCTGTTGTATCATTTTTCTACTCTCAATTATAGAGATACACGAGGGATTATCATCATTTTGCTAATAAAAGTCGACCGTTCGACACACTGTTTTAATGACGCTAATTAATTTAATTTATCTGGCCATCTGCTAGGTAGCGATAAAGGAAGGAGGAAGAAAGAAACGAAGGGACAGATTTAAGGTAACGATACCGACAGAGGGGATAAATAAGAGAAGAGAAACAGTAGAAAGCTAGTGGAATCCAGCAGTAACGGAGGGTGCAGCTCATTCAGGTCGAATGTTCAGGCGACGTACGCAAATAGAATGCGAAATGTCAATTACGCCGTTCGCACTGTACTTTATTAAATTCCGTTTCAGTTATTAGAGTTTCCAGAAAGTTCTGGGAATGCTCGAGATACGATACTGCTTCATTAATGCGGCGCAGGAATGTAGAGAGGACGATCAACGAGTGCACTTTAAAACCATTTTCATCCACTCTTCAACAAACTTCGGATGTTATATTACTCAGTATTTCAATTAAATATGTATTCAAACCGTAGGAAAATTGTATTTTCAGCCCGTCGGTAGTCCTCGTCTAGTTTTTCGAGTTACTTCAACGCGTTCGGACAAATTTCGTTCACGTCTTGTCCCCCCCCCCCCCTTTTTTTTTTTCTCTCTTTGCGTTATTACGAACAATTTTGTTTGAGATTAAAAACATCGAATTCACTCGTTATTATTCTTCCAATAAAATATCACGAATGTTACGTGTGGATCCATTTTTTGCCAATCGGTAAAATCATTGTTAGTTTCATTCTGAAATAATTAAAATGCACACAGCGAAATTTGATCCCCCTGTTAATAACGAAATTTTCAAATAAACGACCGGCTCATTCCCTACGGAAATATAAAATTTCTACAATTTCGAGTTCTGTTTCAGTTTAGCCGAATCTTTATATAGGACCGGAAGCGTCTAAAACTTCTGCGAGCAGAAGACAGTCGCGTTCAATTACGAACTACAAAGGCTTGGTCGATGTCGTCCGTTGTTCTTGGTCGGCCGTACGTTTGTTTGTCGTCGATGAGTCCGTCTGGGGCGGATCTCCATTGTTCTTACGGATTGGGTCTTTCGTAGGGATTTAATGAGACCGGTTCTTGGCCTCTCAGACATTCGATCGAGAACCAATTTTAATAACTTAATGATTCTGCTGCCGAATTTCCTCCATTTTCTCTGTCTGTTTAGTAAAGGGGGCAGGACAATGTGACGGGCCTAAAAAATTACGTACACTTTGGAGAACTAGTAAAAAAAAAACTACATACTTGATTGACACTAGCTCTTGCGGTTTATTTTAACAGATTATGAAATATAAAAAGCAACATTGAAAAAGAAAAAGAAGAGGGCTTTTATTTAACTTTTTAACGGCATCCTTTTACATAACTTTTTTTTTTACATTGCCTATCAGTCTGCATGATTCCAGCCAAACAGGATTAGTTGCAACAAAAAAGCAAAGAAAGTTCAAAAGTAAACAATATTCTCTAGGGATTGACGATTCAACATTTTCATTTTTGTGAAAATTATGAAAATAACTAGCTATTTGTTTTTGATGTATCGAATTTATGCCAGAAATTTCTACGTTTTTTGTTCATATTTTTCAAAATTGTTAAAAACTAAAAAATATTAGAAATCGTCAATCCCTAATGAATGTTACACTAAAGATACGTACCAAGTTTCACATTAATCGGTTGGTTAGATTCCGAGATATCTTGCACACCGTTTCTAAAAACCTAGTTTTGAGAAAAACGTGTTTAAAGTTCCAGAACGTCATTTTTTCATATGTATCCTTTACTTACTTTTTTTACTTATATAAGGCGGCTCACAGTTCTTACAATTCACAACTAAATTGAATTCAAGTCCCCTAATATTCGATTCACCAAAAGTAATATTTGAATCACACGATTTACACTTAATAATACTGCTTAAAGTTGCAAACAGTGATACAAATTCAATTATTCTATATCCTTAGCGAATTTATTATTACACTCCAAAATAAGTCGTTTTAAAGGCTAGGACCATTTGTATATTATTTCTTAGACTTCAAACTACTATTTAAAACAAAACAAAGAAAAATCAAGTTTTTGAAAATTTCACCTCGTTAAAGTTAATTACTGCTCGCAAGGTCGAACTTTGCATTCTCGTTGACTCGATTTTTCGCAATTAAAGTAAAATTATCTAAAATCGTACGAATCAACTCGTGTCCAACTAGTTCGCGCTTGTTTTTCGTCGGACTTTGCCGAACGAACGCAAGTGACAATGAAGCAAAGGGTGAAAAAATATATTCCGACTCGCAAAGAGTTTATTGGCGCAAGTTCAAGGGTGGCGAACCTCTCGGCTTTCAATTTCAATGACACTAAAGTCTTCGACACATTCTCTGTTGGTACGCATAAAGCCCGGCCTTTACACCGTTCCCGACTCTTTTTCAACGACAGTTTTACGTGCTTGGCCCGAAAATGTCGGGTACTTTACTTAGTATCCTGCGTCTCAAGCACCCGCAATTTACGCTCGAGGAGTACGAAAACAATGCACTTAGCCCGAAGAAGTTACCGTGCACAGTAATACGCACACACGGCGCGTTGTTGGCTGACAAATTTCGTTTTTCATCGTTTTCTTAATTGCGATTAATTTAATACCCTTGGCAAATTGAAACAAACTCAAGTCAGCTTGGAACAAACAGAGGTAAAACGTAACGCCAACAGCGAAGAGTTTCTCATTTAGGTAATTGCGGGATTCGAACAATTGTTGATTAACCTCTGAAAAATATGTGTATTTTGAACGTTTCACTGTCACATCTTTTTCCATTCCTTCCCGTTTTTAATGCAGTCTACTATTCCCATAGTTTATTACCACCATTTTTCACGACATCGTCTCCACCCCCTGTTCCCGAAATTGCCCGTGAAATGTACTATTTCACAATTTGGAACAGTGCCATGTATCTTTTCATTTTTGCGAATTCCTCCTGTTCTTTTTCTTTTTTCTTTTTATTTCAGAACGTTGGCCTCTCCCCCCCCCCCCCTGGGGTTTTTTAATTTTTATATATCTGCTCTAACTTCGTTTTTCATTACGACATTGCCAGACACGTTTCCGCGTAAGGAAAGATTTTTGAAAAAGAGAAGCCAACTCGAACGAAACGCGTAGAACAGAATCAACTCGACGACGAGGTAGTGTTATTTCTGGTTAAGAAGTCCAAACCGAAGAACATGTATTTGACCAGAACACAGCGGGGTAAACCGGCGTGGCTGTGTGCGAGTATCTCTGCATGTTTATTCGTACACAAGCAGAGATACCGAGTATGAACACCTGATCTCGAGAAGGTCGGGGTGTCTGCGGTTCAGCCGAAACCGAAATTACGGGATTAATGGAAGTCTGGACGTGGCCTGGCCTCCTTGCAAGGAAACGGGAAACGGAGGTGGAAAAGGTATTTCACTCTCGCTCTTGTTGCAGAAAAAGACCAGCGTTGCCTTTTGCCGGTGAAATAACCGGCGCTTCCTATCTTTCGGCCCCGGACTACCTTCATTTTCGGAACAAATGCGCGCAATTACTTGTTACTTCGCCCCACGCCTCCGTCATTCGAGATAAATAAGAGATCGGGCTGCATTAAAGCTGGAACCGGAAGATCCTCAGAGAGAGAATTCGTTTCTTTCTTTTTTCCTTTCTCTCTCTCTCTCTTTCCTTTCTGTTTCTTCTCGCGAGAAATGTACCTTTGATTACCTAAACTGAACACGTTCGTTTGGATAAATGTTTACAAAAATCGTAAACCTTGAAAAATCGAGAAACATAGCTCGAGATAATATAGAAAGAACGCTGGCGTAATAAAAAACAAATTATTCAATTATCAATTTTATGTCGTTACATTTTGTCTGTCAATCGGACAATATTTCAGAAAAGTTTCATCGAGCTCGCTTCCTGAAGAACCTTTATTTCTCCGCGGTCACACGTACAGGCGACCGGTGTGCTCAGGTGAGCACGATGCTTCTCAAGGAATACTCAGGCTTGATGTCGAAAGTGGCAATAGCACCGTCGTTGAAGGGCAAGGAGATGCTTCCGTCTATCACCAGACCAGCGTCAAAGCCACAGGATTTCACAGTAAGCTTGCTGCACTTTTGTCTGTCCGGGCAGCACTTCCGCTTCGTGCAACGCGTGGTGTGATATATCTCGCGGATCATGTATATCATGTTTAAATCCTCTGAAAAAGCATCAACGAGAGTTCCCTCGGAAACAGCAAATTCAGGAATATATTTCACTTTCGTTTCTTCTTCCTTTCTTTTTTTTTTCCCTCACTCCTCGTTTCGTCACTTTAGCGAAGATCGGCAATTTTTAATTTGATCGTACGATACAGTACACACAGAGGATTGCTCGTTATTGCTTGTTCGCTCGATACACGTATGTACAGTTACTAACGTTAAACCGATCTAGTTACCTGCCGAGTAGAGAAGAGCCTGATGGTATTTGTGGAGCAACTCGTTGGTTTCCTCGAGGCTTAATTTATCGCCGGTGGCTATTTCGACGATGCTTCGAACAGTTTCGGCCGACTGTACGTTAATAGATTTGTACCAGAACCGGGAGCCGGTGCCCGTACAAACGCATATGCCCGAACTTCGAACTAGATATGGCGCGTGGTTTTCGACTCCGACGTGCAACGTTATTGGCCTGGCCGCCATGAATTCTCCTATGAACACCTGAATTTCACGTAAGAAAATATCGATCAGAAATATCACTGTAATTCATCTAGCGCGGATTAGTTGACAAGCGAGATTTTCGTCGTTGGAACTAACTTCGTTCAGCGCCAGCCAAGGCAAAATCCTCTGACGCGGTTGAAGCGCCATTTTCCTTTCCGCCAATCGTACGAGATCTCTGTACAAGAGAATTCAATTAACCTTTGATTAAAGCGGTCAATGGGATTGATCGATGCTCATGGTCGGTGTTTACATTCGTTTCTTCTCGCGTTTGCCGCAGGACGAGCCTCTCGCTTAGGATAGATAAGAAAACGTACGTGAAAACGTACAAACGGCTCGGAGGGACGAGTTTATTTAGTTTTAATGACATTAACGAAGGTAGAGGAAGAAATTTTAATGGGTGGTAATGAAGAACGACGTTAATGACGAACCATCGATGCATTTAGAACAACGAAACTCCACCGTCAGCGTAATTACGTTAATATCGAACGTTTTTCCTATAAATAGGAAGTTCAGTCGACGAGTAATTGGCAATAAATGAATTGATAAGCCTCTCTTACGCGTCACGGTGGACAAAGCCGATGATTTACACTTATATCGCGTACAACAGCGACGACAATAACTATTAAAACTACTGGACAGAGTCTTCAGTTCTGCGCTTTGTCACGAATCACGCGCGAGTAGAAATTCGCGATCCGTCTATGGAGTAAATTCGGTTCTACATACGATGCTGTGCTGTGTCATCGATATCAAAGTTATTTGACCCAGTTTCTTCGACAAATTGGTCAAATCAATGAAAATATGCAATTTCGCTCCTTTTCTCTTTCTCTCTTTCCTCCGATAAATAACGATTTCTCGTGAAATTCTCGTTATACACAATTAAAAAGTTACGACATCCTTGCGCAAGTCGTAACTACACGGTTATTGTAATTTACAAGTTCTAACTGCCGAAGTTGCGGCGTGCGGGAGGCTATAAGTTGAAACTACTCGGCGGAGAGGACCGGCCCGTGAAATGAAGACGCATTACGGCCTTTATGAAAACGCAGAATCGGCGATACGTACCGCTTACTTAAAACTTAAGAGAATAGATTGCCCGGAGAAAGAAGAAACTCCGCTGTGCAAGAGTTTCCTCCACACGATGGAGAGACAGAGAGAAAGAGAGAGAGAGAGAGGACGATACATACTTCGTTCGCCGGCACTTTATCGTTTTTGCCAGCGTAATTTAAGCCGAGGAACCAGCCAGGCAACGTAAAGTTTCATCTTTGAAATGAAACCCCCGAAATAGAGGCTCGAGTACGCACCAGCTAGTAACAAACCAAGTAACAAACCCGCGAGAATAAGGGAGCGTGACACTTTTCTCGTCGCACGTGTGCCGTCCTTACCTTTAGTAAGTGATTTATTAATTAACAATAGAGCAATTTTATTAATTTTATTAATTTTGCTATTTTACGGGACAGGCTAAGATAGACACGTAGAACTTTAAAATTTCATTAGCCACAGATGTAGCGAAGATGTGCATACGTGTTTCTGCATTTTTCTCTCGCAGATCATGAATGAAAAAAAGCGCCCTGATAAAAACGGGAGGATTACACGGGTATTTCGCATGCATCGAGCATAAATGTGTATGAACGATGGGAGATTAAAGTACATCTTGCGAACGAAAGTAAATGCGCAGAAAGATGGAAGTGGAATTGTGTCTGAGAGAGAGAGAAAGAGAGAGGAAGAAAATTTCCCTGCAGCCACACCGCATCGCAGAAGTAACGAATAAAAATGCACATATTGATCTCCGGGAGGATAGAAGAAACACAGAGCAGAGAGAGAGAGAGAGAGAGAGAGAGAGAGAGAGAGAGAGAGAGAGAGAGAGAGAGAGAGAGAGAGAGAGAATAACTTTTCTATAATGTACCCACTCGGCTCTAATCTTCCCTTGCGTACGGATCTTCTCGCGTGTGTGAAAAGGTCGTCTGTAAAGTCCCTCCGCATTCATCACCGTTCGTATGCGACTCCGCATCAGCAGCGTGTACCTTCCTGCGTGGAGTCGCTCGAATACGCTCTCGGTGTCGGTCGTGTACTTCGCGGGGATCGTGAAAACGTTACTGCCGTCCGTGACGCTCGGATTGATGCCGAGCATCGGCTTCGTATTGTCCGTAATCAGTTTCGAGGCGAGCAGAAACGCGCCGTCTCCGCCGATCGGAACTACCAGGTCCGCCCAGTTTATGAATTTCCACGCGTCTTCGATCCTACGCGGCAACAAACAACGCGAGATGGAACCGTCGAATCGTAGAAAAGTATTGTTGCAAATTCGAGCGAGGAGGAAAGAAATTTTTGAAAGCTGAAAAATTGGAGGTTCAGGCGCAACCTTTTCACGATGCGAAAGTTAATGCCGAGCTTCTTGAGAACCGCAGCCAGATTTTGCTCGCAAGCAGTCTGCCGTTGATGCTCGGCGAGAATTTCCTGCGAATCCCTTCCACGATCTTTCAACTTCGACAATACTTGATCCTCGTTCAGATCGGGATTCCGAGACCGCAGGAACTCCAACGAGGACAGCTTCGAAACGCAGAGCACCCGCCGCGGCCGATAAGGCGCGTTGTTCAAGCAACTGAAGATTTTCATGATCGAGAGGTGAAATCGATCTGGAACGGGCGTCGATTTAGGTTAGATTGTCTCCGAAAAATATTGAGATCATTTGGAGGAGCGCGGCGCAGCTACTTTGGATCAATATTAATATTAATTAAACGGGGGGGGGGGGGAGAATTAGTTTCGTTGTGACGTTAAATATTGTTCCGTTGCTTTCCCAAAACCAAATACCCGACGTATCGCGTAACGTTTAAACACCGGCCAAGTTTCAACTTTATTTTAGCGAATTATCGACCAGTTTATTCCGCTTATTGGGGGGCTGGAAATTTCGTTCCCAAGCGCCTTTATGACTACATCATTGCTTGATAAATCCTGGGAGTAACCAGATACATTTACCCCTCGCTAATGGTTTATTTTGTTACCTAATCCGATTCGGTGAAACTCGGCGCTTCGTTCGGTGTTTCTGAAAACACTTTCGAGTATCAGGTTTAAATTGCGAGTAACAATTATCGACAAAGTTACGCTCGGTGAAATAAAACGAAGATAAGAAAAGAAAAGAATTAAAAAAAGAAGACTCTTGTAACTTTTACAATCCAGCGAACGATGAACGATGATGTCAGACACGATGGTCGATGAACTGATATAAATTAATATATCAACGAATTAGAATAATTAAAGCTTGTATCATCGAATAAGAACGACTAATAATTTTATACATCGCAATCCGCGGAAACGTCGTCACCGACGAAAAAGGAATCTTCCCAAATTTTTCGACCACAGCGACCGTCCACTCCTCGAGGAACTTCGCTGTAATCAACTTCCTCCATCTAAACTCCAAGATCTCTCACCGTGGCTTATACAACCGTCTTCGCTTCTCGAATGACTACTCGCTTCGTCGTCTCAACTTTGCAAATCACATCGCCTCTCTGCGGCTTCGTAACATCGAACGTTGCTTCAACTTGCCAGCCAGGATGAGGAAAGGGGGAGAGTATTCGCTAGCGAGATGATGGCGCGGCCGTCGTAGGATACGTGTTCTTCAGGATTACTCACGTGTTCCAAGTGATACACTCGGCACTCAGGCGGCGAGTGGAAGCCGCGGTGTCTTGTACGCCGGCTTCTGGCAAACTTCGGGGCAAGGAAAGTTGCGCGAAATTTTCGTCTCAATGGACACTGACCATTAAAGCCACTTAAGGCTACCAGGATCTTCCCTTAAGCTTGCTCGTACGAGGGATGTTCCGTCGGCCACGAAATATTCCTCTAACAGCCGAGATTTTAACCGAGGGTTCTCTCGAAGAGTTCTCGAGTTTCCTCGAAAGCCATCGTTTTACGAGCCATCGTGACATTTTTACCTCTTCCCTTCATATTCCCGCGATACGTATCTCGCGTGGTGGCAACCGCTTCGAATTGCCCGTTGTTCGCCCATCGATGTGACACTTTTCTTTTTTTTTCTTTTTGGAAAACAGCGGCGAGGAAAAGAGTCTCCTCGGAGAAGAAAAAATTATAGCGAGACAGAGTGTGAGAAAACCGTGTACGTATACGTATACATCTCGGTAAGCGCGTCCTTGCACACACGGTTTTTGGCCGAGCCGAAGTGGTCTCGTCGAGTTTCCGGTAACCGAGAGACAGAAGAAGCTTGCGGCCAACTTGCTGCAAGTTTTCGTCTCGAGGATGGCTGACCGCGAAAGCCATTTACGGTGCCGGAATGTTCTCTCAAGACCCGTTGTCGCGAAATATCCGAGCGTTTTATATTTTACGAGACGCGGACCGCTGTTGGAACTTTGCTCGCAACGTCTGCCGTTTTCAAGTGTACGAGTTCCTACGTCCTATATCGACGTGCGATTATCGCTATTATTTACATCTACGACGCGAGAAATTCGAAAAATCGAGAAAGCGAATTTCAATAATACAAATTATGTATTATTAATGGAATTTTACTCTTTGCAACTTTCGCAATACTTAAAAAAGGAAAAAGAAAAAGAGAAAAATATCGCACCGCGCAGTTTAAAGCGATAGAGATGATGTATGGGATGAAATTACCTTCTGCAGATGTAATTATAATTACTTACAGCGCAGCCCGTGACAAACACGCCTCGTGCGTTTCTTTTTCTTTTCTCCTTCTCTCTCTTCGAAGCAACAAAAAGGAAAAGAAAAAATTACCGCTTTTTCCCCCTGCCTGCACCCTTTGCAATTTTCTAAATTTCATGCATATGCAACCCGGTGCCCGGGCTTAAAACGCCTTGTTAAGGCTACTGCTACTGCGGGGACACGATAATTGTATTTCCCTAGAATTTTTATTACACTCGGAGACATGACAACGAGCCACCCGACAGTAATTACACGTCGTACGCAGGTTTTAGCTTGAAGCGGATGCCGCGGCAACCAGAGAGTTTCTGGTACGTTGGCCGCCGACGAACTTTGCAACAAACTTCCACGTTCTTTCCTTCTCCGCGGCGGTTGCTGACCACCAGGGCCACTTATAATGTCGCGGTATCCCCTGCGGCGAAGAAATTCGTTTAGCCGGAACTTTTAAGCCTGAGCAACGCCTCGTGTTCCCCTCTCCGTACGTGATTTTCCAAAAAAATGATCACACGTAATCACGACATTGGCGCGGCACGTAATTATCGAACGATTTAAATTTAATTCAGTTTTAGATCGTCGTTGCGCTGGCAACTGGTTCGCGGACCATAACGAGTGACCGAACCGTATACAGTAATTTGTCGCTTTCTTTTTCTTTTGAACTCTTCCGTATAATATCACTGGATAGAAATTATTAAGAAGTAATAAACTTATCATTCGTTTCGCCTGGGTTACATTTAAATATACTTAAAACTGAGAAAATATTGCAATAATGGACAAAAAATTCTCGACGTACCTGGCGAAAGAGATTAAGAGAAACGACGGTTTTAGTCTTGCAGCCTTTGCAGAGATCAACTTCCGGTAAAGAAGTTTTCACGCTGGCGACTTTTACTATTTCTATATAACGGATAAAACTACATTGAAAGCGAATGATTTTGGTCGACGTCGCCGTTTCTTTATTACTCAATTTAGCAGTGGCAGTGGTGTACGAACGCGGAATTATCGTCTCGATTTAATTGAAATCGGTTCCTGTCAGTACCATGAGTTGTAAGAGCGACAGTAATTGGCAGTTGTGTAACAAAACACCCGATTCGCAGGCGGGCAACAATATCTGTTCGCGTTCCAGCTACTATTTCCACTGTTGTACGGACAGTGTCTATCGTAATTATACCGGTTGCTCACATAGTTACGATTCGGACGATACTGCGCGTATTTTTGGGGCGAACCTCCAGCTATCGAGTATCTGTAGAGACTGTTTATCCTGCCAAGCTGATGAGGCGCATCTTCGAACAAGCCAGAATTTCGTCGCGTCCAACAGTCTGTTGTCAGCCAAAATTCGCTCGGTTCCTGCCATCTGCTCGACGTGACGCGACAGCAATGGGATCCACGATCTGGCCAACGATTCATAAACGATTCGCAAGGGTTTATATCGCACTGCACCATGCAATGGCTGACCAATGGTCGAACGCCAGAGCAACGTAAGAAACGGTCTCTGCAGTCCTTCTTCCGTGGCCTGTCCAACCAGGTAGTCAAACGATCGAATATTATCGTCCCGGCGTCAAATATGTCTCTCTTTTCCTCGCACGTACAGGTTGCTTTATCAACTGTTGCTTTATCAAGCGAGTCTGCTGGACCAACGCAGGCATCTTGCGTTTCAATATTATCGTCCAAACTCTCAACTGACTTTACATCTACGATCGACACCTTCCTGATTGAGCCTAGCTTATTCTCCGTGTCAAAAAGTTCGTCGTCTTCCTTCTCCACTTCTTGCACTGTCGTCAACGTCATGTCCAGGCCTCTCTTTTCCTTTCTCGTCGGTACCGGTTCGTGTACCGCGCCGACAGTCTGCGTGCACTCGCTTATCACTAAATTTGGACAGTTCTTGTGACATATGGGACCGGGGAATTTCATTCCAAGTGCAGTGATACACGGTATGCACGAGCCTATCGCCGCCGAGCAAAACAGACGGACGTCTTCGCCCATGCCTTTCTTTCGCGACGGTCTCTGATCTTGGCCTATGGAGAAAATGCAATTTATTCGCGAACGGCTTTCTGGAAAATCCGACTCTGCCACGTTGACGCCTTTGCATCTATACACGCGAAGAATCGCACGCTGGTCGCCGTAACATTCCGGGACGACTGTCCCAGGCTTCGGTTCCTCGTCCGTTTCGAAAGACAGGTCTGTCATTGAGTATATGTCCGTGGTTATTTGTGCATCGTCGGTTTCGACGCGTGACTCGATCGCAACGTCTCTGGTTAGGCACTCCTCCATCTGGCTGCATGGTTCTTGACAGTACTCCACTTCCGACGTTATCAATCTCTTGATCGGAACTTCGCCATTCGTAGACATATGCTTGGATTTGGGAACGTTCGCAGTCATCGCGGCCGCGTTTCACGCTAGTAATTTTGCCCTAGAATTTCTTTACGATTTCTGTGTTTCTGAGGAGAGGTTGATTGATAACGCTGGACAACGTTGGAAAGTTGAACCAGTTGTTTCTCATACCTGTTTTTCATACCCTTGCAACGCTTCGATGATTTTTAAAGACTGACTTGTAAAGACTTGATTACTTAAGTGCATTTTTCGAGGTATGGTCAAGTGACCATTCTTTTGACATCGAGATCAAGCATCGTGCAAACTGGTAATTTGTATTGGCAACGTCATAATACGTTTCATACGTCGCGAAGAATGTTCTCTCGAGTTTCTTCCTGCAAACATGGAGGGCTACACTTACGATTTAACAAATGTTGTGTCGCATGTTTCGGATCTCTAGGGTTATGAAGAGTTGTGTCGTTTATCCATCACGAACCTGAATATATTTACAATAGTGTTTCACTCGTATAGTGAATGTTTTCACAAATATTTCATTACTTACTTCAAAACGATTAGTACTAGTTAATGCTGAAGTACGATATTTGTAGGATTATAAATATAAATATGGTAAAAAAAAAAAAAAAAAATGAATGACCGAATCGACAACGATCGAGAAGTTATTAAATCATTCAAACAAAATTTTCAAAAAATGACATACTATAGCAAATTCACACGCACACGTAAAAAAATAACTACAATATCTCAAAAAATATCTTACCATCTCTCGAATTACCGTTTCCTCTTTCCGCACGGTCTACACAGATCGCGATCGATCCCTGAAAACCCAAAATTTTTCGTTCGAGCTAACCAAAGTACTTCGCGCGAAACCAACGTTCGATTAAGTAAATGACGCATCACCGTCGCTCGTGTAGTAAAAAGTGTCGTACAACCGACGAAGGTAAGTTCTTTGTACTCTCTGATAGCTCGCGCGGCTGATGAACTCGGTCATCGACGAATCGTCAACACCCCGGGCTGTCAACGCTCGACGATGCGTGCATGCACTGTCGAGAGGTCGTCTCATTCGTCTCCGATGATCGTAGATGTCAGGCCTGGAAGGTTGCTTCCTCGGTGATGTCACCTGTACAGAATATTCAATTTCATCGTACCGCTCTGCCTGACCATTAATTTCCAAACCTTGCCTCCGGTGTAACCAAGCTCGATGAATATTCAGCGGAATTCGTCCGTTGATTGGTTACGACGGACGAAAGCGAGACACTAGGCTCATATCGCTCGTACCTCGTTCGAAGTCGATGGGTTGTTGCTTGGTTGTTGCTCCGTGTCGCATTCTTCCAAGTTCGACTGCACTTTAATGCTCATCAATATCTGATTCTTTCTGTTCCCCACTTGAAACTCGGACAAAATCTGCGTGAGGATCGTGTTCGACGTTTGCATTTGCACGCTCACGGTCGTTCTCTTTCCGCCAAATTCTCTCGTTAGCTCGATCGGTGCTGTGGAATCTACTTCGTCGAGATCAGGGATTGCCGTTATGGTCGATGGTGGAGCTTCTTCTTCTTCTACGACGAGTTCCGGTTCGTCCACTGCGGTATCATCTGGTGGTTCGGTAATTTCGGGTAATGCTTCTTCCGCAGGTGTTTCTTCCGTAGGTGTTTCTTCTATAGATATTTCTTCTATAGGTATTTCTTCTACAGATGCTTCTTCTGTAGGCGCTTCTTCTTCCGTCGTATCCTTCTCAGACGTTTCCTCTTCTACCACGGTATCTTCAGTCACAGGTGCCTCGTCATCTTTTTCTGCTTCTTCTTCAATTGACTCTACCACTGCTTCAGGTACATCCTCAACTTCGCCTGGAGGTGTCGTATCTTTCTCCGGAACGTACTCTTCTACCACGGTATCTTCAGTCACAGGTGCCTCGTCATCTTTTTCTGCTTCTACTTCAATTGACTCTACCACTGCTTCAGGTACATCCTCAGCTTCGCCTGAAGGTGTGGTATCTTTCTCCGGAACGTACTCTTCTACCACGGTATCTTCAGTCACAGGTGCCTCGCCATCTTTTTCTGCTTCTTCTTCAATTGACTCTACCATTGCTTCAGGTACATCCTCAGCTTCGCCTGGAGGTATCGTATCTTTCTCCAGAACGCATGCGCACATGTCAACTACTTGACTAGGTGTTACCCTTAACGATGCACATTTTACAAGAACTTTCTTAAGGAGCATACATTGGACAGCTTTGCCCGTCACTGGCTTCGTTCTTTCGTCCTTCACCTTGGGACTATCATTTTCTTTTCTAAGACTCATTTCGGGTTTCACGTATCTCGAAGGACCTGTGACTGTGTACTTTGGATTCGGCGGAGGTTTCTTTTTCGGCGGGGTAATCTGTTTCGTCGGCTCTTCCTTGGAAGACCTAATTTTTTCATTTGGCTCTCCTCGTTTCACGGTTCTCACTTTCTTTCGGAATGCCGTTCTTTCTGCGACGTAAGTGCCATTCGCTGGACTGACCGTCGCGCGAACGGAACCCGTTTGAACGCACACATCTACAGCCATGGAGGAGTTTTCCGTCTGCTGGTCTTGAGGCGTCGACGGGTTTTTCTGTTGCTGTTTAATTATCTGACTACCTGAGTTGGAATTTTCACGATTGCCGGACGCGACTGACTGTCCTCCGTATTTGCTCGAATTCGACTGTTTTCTTTTCTGTGGGTAGGTATCACCGCCACCCTTTTTGCGAGCAGTGTCGTACGTTGGATACCACAGTTCTTCAAGCGGTGTTCTGTTACAAGCATTTTCGCAAGAGTCAAAGTGCCACTTTCTCTCCGATTGGATCTGTTCTTCGGCCACATTGCGAGCACCTTTCCAACAATCATCTGAAAACAAATTCTCAACTTCATAGGAAACTACGACTGAAATCGATCAGTGAAAATCGATCGTGATGCACGTGAGAAATTTAAAAATACGAAAAACGTTTATAGAGGCAGCCGTTTATTTCACGTTGCAAATTACAAAACGATAATTTGCGGCTATATTGTAGGTACTTCGCTGAATTAGGTATGAATTTAACCCTCACACTGCGTCCATAGGCGATTCGCGTTCCGTGTGATTCCTTACTTTTCTAGGAACTGCACAGCGATTACAAATTCGTGTTTTTTACGTGTACCCTAGAAAAGAATTTGCCAGCTAAGGAGACTAAGCGAACGTGCATAAGATACGAGAAGAAAGAAGAAGAAAAAAGGAACAATTGATCGTGTAATTGACAGAGTGACTCGGACATTGTTGCGCGTGCAGTGTGAGGGCGTCACGAGAGTATTTTAACGTAGAAACGTACTTTGACACATTGGCGTTTGACAGTCGGGCAATCCAGCGACGTTGTCGCAACAGACGTTTCCGCAACAATGCGCATCGCAGTTGCTCGACTCGTGGTTCATTATTTCTCGCCAACACGCCGCCTCGTACACGCATTCATTGTGCGTTCCCGACTGATCGCATTGATCGGGGCGTGCAGTTTCCTCGCAATCTTTCGTCCACGTCCCGCACGTGGAACGATCCTTCGTGTCTTTCTTCGAGCCTTTCAACTTCGACGATTGTTTCACGATCTGGCCGATGCTCGTTGTCGCCACTCTCACAAAATTTTTGTACGTGTCGTGCAACTGTCTTCGAATGTCGCTCAACAACGAATGATCATTTGTTTCGCATTGCTGGCTGGAACCTGTCGTCTTTCTCTTTACGTACGTGTCACCTTCCGTCTGCGCTCTACGAAATTATTGAAACACTGCGATATAATGTGGGATAACATTTTAAACCCACGTGGTTTATAATAAATTAGTTTGTTAACTAATATTTAAGTAATTAAGGGAAACTGAATTGGCGATGACAAAGAGATATCAAATTTTCTTTATACCTGCTGCTCTCTACCCTCTAATCTTACCTTTAAACCTTTGTCATACGCTCATACACACATACATAAAAACCATACGCTGGTATTTTACGTCTTAAAACTAGCTGTAATAAATTTCAAATGAAGTTTACAAAGTTAAAAAAAAAAAAAAAGAACGATAGTTCACTCCAGAATAATACAATGCGTTCGACTATAGTGGGATCAGATTTTCATTTTCGATAAATTCACAATTTCTGCATTTTGTAACAAGATTTTGCATCGATATAAAGCACGACGAAAGTCACCTGGAATCCCAATGTTCCTGAAACCTGACGCTGGATTGCTCCAGCAGTTCAGGGCAGTACGGTTCCTCGGACATCTGATCGACGGTGTAATCATCGGGTCGTACGTCCATGTTGTTCGAGTAGGCGCGTTCCACGGCACCTGGCTGACCTTTGCAATTGGAACTACACCTCGTCGACTCGCCCCTCTTCGATCTGCCACGATCTCTCGACGACTCGAACTTGTCCTCTCTCACAGTACTAGATTCCTTCCTCGAGGCGTCGCCTTTCAGCAATTCCTCCGTCGACTCGTCGCATCGGGCGGACGCCAGGTTGCACACGTTCGCCACGCTCTCGCCGATCTCCACGAACAAACTCGCCTTGGACGGTGTACACTTCCTCGAGCAGAACGAGCACAACGAGGAATGATCGGTTTTCGTGCGACTCTCCGCATCCGCAAAGTGGACGCGTTGCAGGCAGTGTTTGCTGGTAGACGCGTCATGACGATGATCGGGTGGGGAATCGTACTTTGCCTCTGTCTCTTCATAGATCACGCAAGGCTGTTGGGCCACGCTGACGCTTGAGGGGTGCGGTTTTACGTCGCGCGGACAGCAACAATCGTCGAGGCAACCGTTCTTCGCGGTTTCGAGGCCGTCGTTCTGCCATTTTTCGTACGAGTTGCAGTCGTTGCTCTGTACTTGCACGACGTAGGGCTCGCAGTTTCCGCAACAGTTCTCGAACGTGCAACGGAAGTTCGAAGGCTTCCCGACAAGGGTTTGCTCGCATCTGCACGTTTTTAATTCGAAGCGATTACTACGTTAAGTGAAGCATCTTGTTTCTGAGCTGCGGAAATACCTGCTCGGTTCTTGCCTCCTAGATCCCCCCAATTTGTCGTCGTTCGTGGAAAAGAACTTTCTTCGTTTCTGATCTGGTTTCGCGTTGTTGCTGAAACACAGTTTCTCGTGTCAGGAATTTTAGCAACTGGAGTATAAGCAGAAAATCTTTCTCTTACTTATTATTATTATATTATTATATTATATTATATTATATTATTATATTATACTATATTATATTATTATATTATATTATGTTAATATTATACTATATTATATTATATTATTATAATAGTCCCCCCCGATTTGTCGTAATTCGTGGAAAAGAATTTTCTTCGTTTCTGATCTGGCTTCGCGTTGTTGCTGAAATACAGTTTCTCGTGTCAGGAATTGTAGCAATTGGAGTATAAGCAGAAAATCTTTCTTTTACTTATTATTATTATATTATTATATTATTATATTATATTATATTATATTATATTATATTATATTATATTATTATATTATATTATATTATATTATATTATTATATTATATTATATTATATTATTATATTATATTATATTATATTATATTATATTATATTATATTATATTATATTATATTATATTATATTATTATTTCTAGCAAGTGAAAAACGAGTTACTCACTTGTCGCAACAGTGTTTAAACGAGACGTTGTACATCCGTTTCTCCGGGTGAAAATTCTCGCAGGGTGGCTGTCGCGAGACAACGCTCACGTTTATCCCGCACGGATCGTTAGACGTACTCGCGTCGCAGTCTATTCCGTCTCTTCCGTAATTATCGTAACGTGGCTCCAGCTGTCCGATATGCTCCCAAATGTTTTGCCCCGTGAAATCGCACGCGTTCCTATCGGGACAGTTTCCCTGGTAGATCGAGTCGCCTCTCCTGTGCTCGCACATTTTCGCGTAATCTTCTCCCTGGCGACTAGCTGGCACTCTTCGATATCGCTGATTCCGGCGAAAATCCCGCTGGCCGTCGTTCCTCGCCGACTCGTTCGATCTTACCGGACCGATTACCTGCTGCCTCTTCTGCCTTTCGTTTTTCCAACGTTGGATTTTTTCGGCCTCGCGGCTACCGAGCTGCGTGTTCCACCACGATTCTTCCGATCGATCGCGTTGTTCGGCCGCGTAAACGTTCCCGTGAACGTTGAAATCCATCAAGCGGCAGCCCCCGCTGAAATCTACCGGCATGCGTCCGCGTTTATTTCGAGCTGGTGTGCGATTATCGAACGGCTGGACGATCATAGTGTATTACCGGTATTATTGAACTACGGCCAAAGGGCACGCACAAATGGTCGGTAATCTCTGAAATAAATTAATCGTGGGATCGATCGAGATCACAGACCGACTGGAGAAACGCTCGTGCCGCCGATAGGCTAAGGGTCGATCGCTTCGATTGTCAGCTATCGTCGATCCCTGCCTCTGCTTTTTAGCGCATTATTATCAATCTATGCCACGATTACGCCGCCCCGATCAATCCACGGGTTCATTGCGCCTGGTGAAACGTGTAACGTGATCTGCAAATGTTTATACGTCGTTTAGCGTCAGAGAGACGGCGAAACACGCGGACGAGATAGGCTTGATTATTGAACATGGCACATCCGTTGCCGAAAATTACAGCGCGAGATACGCGTGGTTGGTCAAAAATCTCTGAAAATCATGACGCGAGACGAGACTTGTTTTTCCTGAATATAGCTGAAATTTTGCACTTTGTTCAAAGTTGTTGCGCCTTAAATTTTACAACCAAGCTGTCAAATCTTTGTTGATCCATGTCGAAGGATAGAAAATTGCAACAGCACGATTCTCAATGATCGACGTTAACATGCTTAGTTGGAAAGAAATGAAATAACGTAACGGCATATTTCACAATGCCTCGTCGGGAAGTCTCGTTGCGACAAAACTCGATGCTTTCCCAGTCGAGCGTCTCTCACGTCCCGTTTCACACGTTTAACTCGTGCAAATGCTTCATGTTCACTCGAAAAGAAAAAAATAGAGAGAGAGAGAGAGAGAAAAAGGATACGTTTTCAAACGTTGAACACACCGAACTACCCGAACAGCCGTGAGGTGAAAAAATATTTCACACGAACGTCCGCGCGATTCTCTACGCGTGCGGCGGCGACGACGACGACGGAGGAGGAAACGAACGTTCACGCAGCAATACCGAAAGTTCGACGATGGCGCGACGATGGCGAGTCACATTTCCGTGCGACGGAAGGTGTACCGTTTACTTTGGAACTTGTAAAATTTGGAATTTTCCGGGGTTAGTTGTCATTGCCGAGTCGTGGGGTGGACCGAGGGCGGGAGGGTGGGTGGGTGGTGGCCGAAAGTTTGGTTATGAGAGATCGGGAAACATTCGCGACTGTTATCGCGCGGCGCAGTTATCGCACCGATGTATTTTTACGCTCGCTCGCGAGCGAGCGAGCGAGCACGCGTCCGACCGCTCGCGTCGCAGAATATTCAGGGGACACGGAAAACAAACGCGGCGCACGACCAAAAATATATTCCATATTTTTGTAGCACGCTCAGTAAATATTTTGAATGTCTATCCATCCGCGAGCTTAAAAGGAGAATTCTATGAATATTTGTCAAATATTGCGAACATCATGGCCACCGATGTATGTATCGCGTGTTCACACGATGAACACGCCGGCCGCGTGATATGAATACGTTATATCCGGCGCCTCGAAAAATCGCTCGAATTACCATGGAAATTACCGTCTGTACAAATGTAATTAATGCTCGTCCGTATCTTGCCGTCCGTCCGATACTTAATGATAAATTTCGCGCGCGCGTTACGCGACGTCCAACCCTTCGCCAGAATCGTCATCACGTACAGAAAACGCGGGTGGAAACTTTGGACGTTCGATAGAAAAAGCACGAAAGTTTTAGCAACATTTTTTTCCTTTAGATCTAGCAATAAGTATAGTCGGTAAATTGCTCTTTTGCACTCGACTGTCCATTCTGTGGGAACGTCGTATTTGAATCTAGGCAACAGCTCGGATTTTTTTTAATAATTTACTGATAATTATACGAATGAACGTGTACACTTGTACGATGCGATATATAATAGCATAATATCTGAACAGAATTAAAGTGAAAGCTATAACAACAGTTATAAGAACAAAAGAATTTCAGACGAAGAAATTTCCGAGTCAATTGGAATAATTCACATAAACCGGGCTTTTTATTACTTTTACGAAATTTTAAAATCATTTTTCCAGAAGCTGAAACTATGCATCGTTAACTCTTGTCCTGGCAAATCCACAATACACGATTGCTTTAAACTTAAACGATATCACGTGTTAGAAAATGTCGTGTTAAATATCATTCGAATGAGTATTTCCAATGCTGCGTCATTTTATTTGAAGTGACGATGCTTCGTAAATAAATTGGTGGTTGATGATACGAAAAAAGTTTGCCGAGGGTAAAAAGTTAATTCCTATTATCTCGACTGATAAGTTTTCGTTAAAAGTTGAGTTTCCAACTTACCTCAAGTGTCTCGTTTTAATAACCAGCCGATCTCGACTCGACGATCTTTTTAATTAATTTATAATATATTTAAACAACGCGGATTTTGCTATGAAACGACGAAAAGTGCAGAATCTATGTAGAATAAATTTTCGAGAAAATTCTACGGTTAGTGCAACAGGCGAGATACCGTTCGTGATTCCTCAAACGTAAGTTTCCCCGAGTATACATAGCACCCTCGTGGTTCTTCCCGCATACACAACGCGATCTCTTATTTCCCTCGATACGCATACGAGAAAACGTGCATCAATATACCAATCGAACGATATTTCCCCATGAAGCTATAAATTTTTCCAGATATTTTTAAACGTACGAGTAAATCTACCCTTTCCCTTGTGGACAGTGTTAATACAAACATATTCATCACACGCTGCACCGACGAAGGCAACAAAAAGATTCAACGACAGAATCAATTCACAGTCGACGCGATTCTTTCGCTAAAAATTCCATCCATTCCGAACAATTTCAATATCGTATATATAGAAAAATTGAGACAAAAGCCACGTCTTAATTACGTCTTGCGCATTTTTAACGAAACAATGTACACACCCCGATTGTGAGTGAAGTAACATCGTCCTTGCGTCAACCGTAGTTGCAGCCATTCGAAAGAGAACATCCCTGTTTCTTCCTCCCTTCCCCTTCCATTGTGTCCGTGATTTTTTTCCTCTCCGCAATTGCACTGCCTTTCTCTCTCCCCCCCCCCCCCCCCCTCTCGCCACTGTCCTCTGTCTTTATCCAAACGATGAATTCACCGATGTTACGTGGCCACAATTTCTCGACGGGGACACAAAAGCGGCCGGCAACGGCGGGTCGCAGAAAACCACGGCTCACCGAGGGAAACAAGGCGAGAGGCGAGCGGCGTATCGGTACACGCACTCGGTCGCATTGTCGCCGCGCAAATTGGAAAGGGAAATAAATCATTGAAGGGACTTAAACGTTCGCGGGTTGAACGTTTAACCGTTGGCCTGTGTGTCGGCGACGAGCGTGGAAATAACAGTGGCGTTCGCTTCTAATTAAACTGGCCGATGCACGGATGCACGCGAGCCAGCCGCTTAAAAAATTTACATCGACAACGAGGACCCTTGTTGCGTTGCTCTCCTCCGCCTCTGCTCCGTTTTCTCGCGTATGTGCACGCGAGCGAGGGAGCGAGAGAGCGAGAGAGAGAAAGAGAGAGTGCGCGCAACGTCGCGAACAATACTGAATATTTCACTGTAACGAAGAGGCGGCGGTCTCGCGTCTACTGCTTCCACCGCACAGGCGAAAGGTGAATTTTTACGTTCATTATAATTTTGCATTGTTTACCGGTGGATAATTCCACCGGTGGATGAAAAACACGGTGGTTCACGGTTCGAATGAAGCAGCCGGATTATAATTTACGATTTCCAGGGTTAATTCGCCACCGTGTGTTCATTGTTGTTGTTGTTGTTGTTGCTGTTGTTGTTATTTTCACTCTTTCCCTACGTTCAAATGTGAGTTACCCCTTTTAATAGAGAAATTGAAACTGCAATTCCGTTGCGCGGTTCGCAAACAGAGACACGCGAGCAGAAACGAGGGACGACTGAATTTAAATTAGCTGCCGCTCGACGATCGAATCGTGTATGAATAGATCGAATGTTTTTTTTTTTCAAACTCTTCTCCTTTTTTCCTTTTTTCAAAAGTTTGGCAAATGAAACAACTGGAAGGTTCGTCAATCAAACGATAGTCCTTGAACTTTCCAACGATGTTCGATCGCCTTCTCGCGTGCAATTGCACCAGATAAATCATGGATACGTGGACCGAGCGTCGAGTAATCTCCATTAAACGACGCACTCTCGAATGAAAAATCTTTCACGTTGCCGATCTGTGTGCGTTCGGTAGCCGACGACACAATATCATCGGGGGGTGTCGTTCCGTTCGAGACGAGCTCACATGACGGATCACACTTGACGAATCCGTCGGCGAAACACAGCCTGGTAAGCTATGCAAAAAAAGCGTGCAGTCTGGCAGATCTATAGGGGGTTGAGGCGGTTAGCTGTCGCCGTATAGTGATGGATGTCTGGAGGTTAAAATTTTGTAGAATTTCTGCCGCATTTCCTGTTCCGTTTCTCCCTTCGTCGGCCCGACGACACTCTTCTTGTCTGGCGCTCCCTCTCTCCCCCCCTCTCTCTCTCGTATATTTGTGAATCCGTCAGTACATTTACACCCTCCGAGATGGCCTAACCCACCGCGTGGGTTTGGCTAGGCTTCCAGGGAGGAGGGTCACGCATCACAGAAAGAAGCAGACGTTTTGTCCTCGCTTCTACCCTGTATCTCTGCATCTCCGCGTCCCTCACCCTTTCCTCTCTGTCTATAATATTATTTTCCCTCCCTTTCTCACTCTCTCTCTTCCTTTTCCCTCTCGTTTGCATTCGCGTCGTCTCGCGTCCTCGACCGACCAACGCGAGAGACGGCGAGCGTGCGTCTTTCTTCAAAAAAAGCGAGCCATACCATAAAATTGTATTCCACGTATTTCTGGCGAGAGGAGGGGCAGAGGGGAGGGGAGGAGGATCAAGCAGCCTCCGTGAACGCGGCGAGGATCCCCGCGTGTATTTTGTAAAGGTAATCCGTGGGCGCTTTTCATCCGCGGAATGAAACGTCTCGAGAGGACGTGGAAGCACCGGAAGCCGGCTAAATTTCATCCTGCAGGTGCA